GCACTCGCACCATGGGCGCCTCCATTCTGCCATACATACCGCACCTGCCGCAGTCCCTGCTGGTCATCTGGATGGTGCCGATGTACTTCCTGGCGCGGGATCGCCTGCGCCGGCAGCCCTGGCTCCGGGGCCTGGCCGAGCACCTGGACGCGGTGATGGACCGGGTGCCGGCCGTCGGCTCGGCGCTGGAGCGCCTGCTGGCGGTGCACTTCCTCCGGGGCGCCCGGTCGGCGCTTCCGCTGGCCGGGGAGGCGCGCATGCCGGCCCCGCCGGCCGGCGCCGGGCCCAACTTCCCGGGGCTCTGGGCCGCGCACGTGGATCGCGTGTGCCGGGCCCAGGTGTGCCTGCTGCTGGAGCGCGAGGGCCTACTCCAGGATGCCTCGGTGCCGGAGGAGGTGGTGGCGGAGATGGCGGTGCGCACGCACCTGGCCGCGCCGGGGCCCTTTGCCCTGGCGCCGGGGGTCCCGCCGCTGGGCTGGCCGCCGGCCGCCGGCATCGGGCCCCCCCTGCAGGCGGCCCTGGCGGCCGCCATGCGCGCGCACTTCGAGCGGCAAATCCACGCGGCCGCCGCGGCCGGCCGGGCCCGGGGCCACTCGCGCCTGGGCGGCTTCACCTGTGTGCCCTTTGACCGGGGGAATCCGGCGCATGGGGCCCTGCTGTCGGAGTGCCTGTGGCCGGCGCTCTTCCGAGCCGGGTGCTCCGGGCCCGGGGGCCCGGCCGACCTGGGCCCCGGCGGGCCTGGCGCCGCCCCGGTGCCGGCCATCGACCCGCACTCGGACCCCCTGTGGGCCGAGGTGGCCGGCTTCCAGGGCCCGGCCCCCTGGAGCGACCTGCGCAGCGTCGGCATCACCGGGCCCCTGCACCTGGCGGCCTTCGCCCGGGCCTTCCCCTCCCTGGCCGGGTACATGATGCACCTGTCGGTGGGCGGGGCGCCGCTGGAGGCCGGGGGCCCGCCGTCGGTGCCATCGCCGCTGGCCGGGCGCCTCTCCCGGGCGGCGGCGGCGGCGGCGGCGGCCGGGCCCGGGGCCGACCCCGGGCCCCCGGAGCCGGCCTCCGACAGCATCCAGTGGTTCCCCTTCGCGGCCTTCGGGGTGAATGTGTCGCGCATGGTGCTGGACCTGCTCTTCCAGCTGGGGCCGCAGGTTCCGCGGCTGCGGCCGGCGGCCGGCGGCCCGGGCGCCCCGTCGGTCACTGTGGCCTTCGCCGGGGCCACCGAGGCCGAGCTGGCCGCCGGCCGGTCCGTCAGCCTGGACACCGGGCCCGACCGGGCGTTGGCCGCGCTGGATGGCCTCCACGCCCCGGCCGACGAGCCCGGCCTGGCGGCCACCACCCAGGCCCTTTGTCGGGATCTGGCGGAGCAGATGCGCCGGGCGCGGGCGCACGCCCGGGCCCCCCCGGGCGCGGGCTCCGGCCCCGGCACCGACACCCCCACCGACCTGGTGCTGGGGCACCTGCTGCTCGGCCCGGCGCCCCGGCCATCCGGCCAGCCCGATGCCCTGCCCCATGCCGACTGCCTGGCCCTCACGGTGTACTGCCTGCTGATGCTGGGCTTCGCCGTGGAGTGGGCGGCCGACGCGGCGCGCGGCCGGGCCACGGTCCTCACCTGCTCGGCCATCCTCCGGCGCGCGGCCACCCGCGTGACCCTCCTGCTGGCGGCCGGCACGCATCCGCTCTTCGAGGCGGCCTACCACCGGGTGGCGGCCACCGCGCCGGCGGCCCTGGCCGGCGTGGACTTCTCCGCGCTCTAGTCTCCTGCCTCTCTCTCTCTCCCTCTCTCCCCCCCCCTCTCTCTCTCTGGTCCATCCCGCCCGGGCGCGTTGTCTGCCATGCGCGGAATGAACAAATACACTGGGCCATCCCCCACCCGTCCCTCCTCCCACTCCCCCAGGCCCATGGGTTCTAGGGCAGCCCAGAGCGGTCGGTACATTTGGCAGGCCGGCGGACGAGCACGCTACAGCCGCGAGTCAGCCACCCCCGGCGATCGGTACATCGAGGCGTGGTGAGCATACTGGTGCCCGGGACGCGAGGAGGCCGGCTGCTGCGCATGGCCCGGCGCCGGCACTCGCCCGGTGCCCGAGGCTGGCCCGGCTGGCGTCGGGGCCCCCTCCGCGCGGTGGTGGCGGTGCTGCTGCGGCTGCTGCGGCTGCGGCTGCTGCGACTGCGGCTGCGGCTGCGGCTGCTGCGGATGGTGGTACTGCAGCAGCATGTCTGAAGAGTAGGAGGAAAGCGGCACGTCCAGCAGGGGAGCCGTCGTGGCCGCCGGCCGCAGAGGGTCCACAAAGCGGCCGGCCTGGCTGGCTACCCCGCCGAGCGGCGCCGGCTGGTGGCGGGAGTGGTAGCCCCCCCCGCCGGGGGCGAGGTTCGACGAGAAGGTGGTTGTCAGCAGGGGCTCCGTGGCGCCGCGATCGCCGAGGGCATGCACGGGGCCGCCCGGCCGGCCGGCGTCCGCGAAGCGCCGCGGCAGCAGGAACCCCGACCGGGCGGGCCCCGGCGAGTCGGCCGCCCCCGCCACCGGCGGCGGCGGCGGCTCCGACAGCAGCGACGGCGGGTCATTGGCCGCCAGCAGCGACGACGGGTCGTGGCCGGCCAGTCCCGACGCCCGGCGCACCGGGCTGATGACATCCACCAGGGACTTCGGCCCCGGGGCCGAATGCCCGGCCAGCGGGTCCGCCCCGGCCCCGCCGCCGCCGCCGCCCCCGCCGCCGATGGCCGGACCCCGGTTCAGCAGGGCATTGGCCGGGGCCGGCAGCGGCAGGCAGGTGGCGTCATAGCGCCGGCGATCGGCCGGGTGCGAGACCACCACTGACGCGTCGGCCGGCCGGGCCGCCGCCAGCGGCAAGCGCCCGCCGCCGGCCGGCAGCGGCAGCATCGACGCCGAGGAATACCCCGGCACCGGGGCCGGCATCATGTCATCCGGACTGGCCGGGCTCCCGGTGCCCAGGAGGGACACCAGCCCCGTGCCGGGGCCCTCCGGGGACCCGGGCGGCCCGGCCCCCGGCTCGCCTCCCGGCGGGGACAGCCCCGGCGGCGAGGGCGACGGCGAGGAGGGCCCCCGAGCCGAGCCGAAGCCCGGCCCCCCATCAAGCCCACTGGCCCCGGCCGACCGGTCCCCGGCAAAGGGGAACGACCGACCGGCGGCCGGGCCGGCATCGTCGGCCGGCCGCTGGTGCGCCCCGGTGGCGCTGGCCGAGTGGCGCCGCGCGCTGGCCGTCGGCCGCATGGCCGCCACCAGCGGCGTGAAGACCGCCGGCGAGGCGTCCCGCGGTGCCGGGCCCCCGGGCCCCGGGCCGACGGTCATCACCAGCCCCCGGTCGGCGGCCAACTGCTGGCCGACCGAGGTCCGCGGGGTGAAGGGTTCCCCGGGGCCCGGGGCCGGGCTGCCGCCCGTTCGCGGCACCGACGAGCCCCCGCCCTCGGTGGGGGTGTGTGAGCGTGACATCGAGTGTGACGAGTGCAGTGGCGTGGCCGGCGACCCGGTCAGGTCGATCACCTTGCCGGGGCCCACTGCCGGACGGGGCGCGGACGCCATGCGGGGAGGCAGGACAATCGGGAACCGGGGGAGGTGGAGGGGCAGGGAGTGTGCGGGGGAGCAAGGGGGGGGGAGGAGGCGAAGGAACAAGCGGGAGGCGAAGGGGCAGAGAGGGGGCAAAGGAGCAGGGGGGAGGTGAGGAAGCAGGGGAGAAGCGAGGGGGGAGGCCAAAAAGCAAAAAAAAGAAGGGACGAGGCGAAGGAGCAGGGGTTAGCCCACCAAGACACAGACAGAGGGCGCAGGGCGCGAGGGGGAGGAAGAGGCACAGAGGGCCGAGGCGCCGGGGAGGGAGAGCCGCCGAGCCAGCGGGACATGCTCGGCGCACCTGACCGCCCGGCGGGCGTCGACCCTGGCGGGAAGACCGAAATGTCCATGTACGAGGTGGAGGCCGCGAGGGCCGGCTGATGCGACGGGTGCCCCAGGGCCGAGGGCGCTGCCTCGGCGCCCGGGCTGGCCAGCGCGGCGGCCCGCATGAATGGTCCGTCGGATGGCAGATCCGCAGACCGGCGGGCCGAGCCCAGCCCCAGGGACTCCAGCGACCCGATCACGGCGGAGGGAGTGGCGGCGGCGGTGGCGGCGGCGGCGGCGGCGGCGGCGGCCGGCGAATGCACCGACCCGCCAGCGGGCCCCCCCCCGCCAGCCGCAACTCCATACGGCGACAGCGGGTGCGCGATGGAGGGCCGGCCGGGGGTGCCGTCGGCCGAGCCGCCGGCCGCCCGCTGGGCCAGCTTCTGCCACTGGCGCTGGGCGTCTTCCAGCTGGGCGGCCGCCTGCTCCTCGCGCTGGAGCAGGGTCTTCTGCTGGTGCTGCTGCCGGTCGCGCTGCTCGACCAGCCGGGCCTCCAGCAGGGCCAGCTGCTGCTCGCGGGCCTTGAGCTGCTGCTCGGCCGCCTGGACCACGGCCTCGCGCTCCTTCAGCGCCAGCTCCTTCTGCCGCATGATCTCCTGGAAGGCCAGGAGGTCCTGCTCGCGCGTCACCAGAGCCGTTTCGATTTCCTTGAGTTTGACGTAGCTACAGGGGGCGGGAGTTAGCCGGGACACAGGGCAGCCGGCCGAGCCGGGGGCAGGCAAGAAAAAAAAAGAAGGAAGGTTCACAGGCACGGAGAGAGGGAGAGAGAGAGAGAGAGAGAGGGAGAGAGGGAGGGAGAGGGAGTGCCCTCGGGGGATGGCATGGCGGCCGCACGGGCCCCAAGCGGCCGGGGACTTGACGCACTGCTTCTGGATGCGCCGCTCCCGGTACACCAGGCGCACCGGGCGGAAGCGCAGGATCTGGTCCGTGGTCGGGCGCTGGTCCTGGTTGCGCTGGAGCATCCACCGGACCAGGTTGTGCAGATCGGCCGAGTATTGCGCCGCGGCCGGCAGGGCCGGGCACTGCGCCGTCAGGATCTTGGCATTCAGTTGCTTCTGATCGGCCGCATCGAAGGGGGGACTGGCGTGCATCGTGTCAGGCACCGGGTCAAGGGGGGGGGGGGCGAGGAACGGCGGAAAGGGGAAGCAGCAGGCACGGCGCACGAGGCGCGAGGCACAAAGCGCGAGGCGAAGAAGAGCGGGCAGAAGCCCGACGGGGCCGGGCTCGGGCACGCACACCAGGCTGCACATCTCGAAAAGCAGGCACCCGAGAGACCAGATGTCGGACTTTTGGTTGTACCCGCTGTGGTCCACCTGCTCCGGGGACATGTAGTACGGCGTGCCGAGGAAGGTCTGCGCCAGGGTGGCCGACGACTCGAGGGTCCGCGACAGGCCGAAGTCCCCGAGCTTGACCGTCGTGTGGCTGGGGTCCAGGAAGAAAATGTTCCCCGGCTTCAGGTCCCGATGCAGGATGATGCCATCCTTGTGGGTGTGGCACTCGTGCAGGGCCAGGACGATTTGCGTGAAGATGCGCCAGATGAGATCCTCATCGAGGAAGGTCCTGCGCCGGGCCCCGGGTCCGATGCCGACCGCCGGCGAGAAGCAAGACAGACCGTCAGTCGGGCGGGGGGACTTGCTCTTCCCTGGGCCTTTGCCTCTTTTGTTGTGGCACACACACACACACATGGCCCTCAAAGCGAGCGGGCAACGCACCGTTCTTTCCGATATTTCGACAGGAACATCTTCAAGTCGCCGCCCTCGCAGAACTCCATCAGCACATACAGGCGGCAGTGCTCGCTGTCCAGGATCCGGTCGAAGTAGCGCACGATGTTCGAGTGCCGCAGCGCTCGGAGGATGTTCACCTCGGCCACCAGCTGCTGCTTCTCCCGCCGGCCCATGTTCTTGTAGTCGATTTCCTTCCAGACCAGCTGCTGGCCGTCGCTCCGCCGGCGGACCTTGACAATCCGCCCGAAGGACCCGTGGCCGACCTCCTCGATCCGCTCGAACTGGTCCAGCGTGGCCGGCGCGCCGGCGTCCGCCGCGGGGTCAGCCATGCTGCGCTCGGGGGGCCGGTGGGCAGGGCGGGACACGCGCAGGCAGGAGGCGAGGATGGGGGCAGGGGGGGGGGGAGGGGGCGGAGGGGGGGAGAGGGAGAGCGCGCGCTAGAGACCGAGAGAGGCAGGGGGAGCCCGGGGAAAGGAGGCGAAAGAGGGAGGTAGGGGTGGGGCAGGGAGGGTGTGTGCTGCTCCCCGAGCGAGGTGCTTGCGCTCCGGGGGCGGGCGCTCTTGACTCCCGGCGCATGGAGGCGCACGCGAGGCGCCGGCCCCGGTCACGGCCTGGGATCGCCGCGCCCGCGCGCCTACGCGCATCCGTGGGAAGGCAGATGCCGGACCCGCCGCCCCGCCCCCCTTGCGGTGTGGTGCCCGGCGGTGGGGGGATTCCGGACAAGCCGGCAGCAGGTTACCAAGTCGGGCCGGGCTCGATCGGCCGGTGTCCGGAGTGCCCCGCCGCCCGTTTCCCGGTAGCCGCCGCCGCGCGCGGGCATACCCGAATGCACGGGCCCGCGCGCAGCGGCCGCCCCGGCAGGGGGCAGGATGGTTACTCTCGACCGTTAGAAAGCGGCGATCCCGGACAACCCCCCCCC